TTTTTTTTTTTCTTGAGATGGCGTTTCACTCTTGCCCAGACTGCAGTGCAGTGGCACCATCTCAGCTCGCTGCAACCTCCACCTCCCAGGTTCAAGCTATTCTCCTGCCTTAGCCTGGGATTACAGGTGCCTGCCACCACACCTGGCTCATCACACATTCCTTCTTCCTGTGCTCTGTTCCATTGGAAAGGAGGCATGCTGGCAATGCAACACACACAGAATGGGCCTAGAGCCAGCTCATGTTGGGCCTTAACTATTGGATGCTGCCCTTCTTGCACCTGTGGCTGCCTGGTAGGGCAGCAGCCAGAGTTGCTGTCACAGTCTTCAGGACAGACAGCTGGTGAAAAAGATATACAGCCTTCACTTGCCCAGACGAACAGTGATCCCCACTCAGCCTTGGCTAATGCTTCTTTATTGCAACTTATTTCTGTCTTTTTCCTTATTTGTAGAAGGATAAGTTTAGTATCTTCTCTGGTCCCCTCAGAATTAAAACAGACAATTACATGTGTACAAACATGTTGCTTAGTATAAACATAATGCAGATGTTATGATTGCGGTGGTTGTTGTTCATAGAACAGGTGGATGGTATATGTAGAAGGTTGTTTTTATTGTGATAAGGAGGAGGCTATACCTTAAAACCTTTGAACCTATAAAACCCAGTCTTGTGACCGAAGAGCACATGTAACCAATTTACAAGAAGTCAATACTATCTTGATATTAGCACATTTTTTACTATTGCTGTCGTTAAATGAGGATTTCCCCAGATTTGCAAATATTTTCTTTACTGTTTCTTCTAGATGTCACCGAAGGTTCCCAAGTTCCCGAGAGGCCTCCTAAACCATTCCCTCGGAGAATCAACTCTGAACGGAAAGCTGTTAACTGTCAGCAAGGTAGCAGTGCTGCCTCCTCTGCTGCCACCGCCTCACCTCAGCTCTCCAGTGAGATCGAGAACCTCCTGAGTCAGGGATACTCCTACCAGGACATCCAGAAAGCTTTGGTCATTGCCCAGAACAACATCGAGATGGCCAAAAACATCCTCCGGGAATTTGTTTCCATTTCTTCTCCTGCCCATGTAGCTACCTAGCACACCACCTCCTTGCTGCAGGTTTAGAGGACCAGTGAGTTGGGAGTTATTACTCAAGTAGCACCTAAAAGGGCAGGAGTTCCTTTGGAGACTTCACAGTGAAGTCTTACCCTCTCTGTGGGATATCACTTCAGTGGTTCCAAGATTTCAAAGCAGTGAAGTGCAAATGGAGCAGCTAGTATGTTTTATTATTTTATGGATCTTGAGAGTGCATTTGAGGGTGTCCTTCAGTTCCCACATAGAGAGCGTGTGGATTTTATTACATGGTAACCTACCTGGGGAACAGTCCAGAAAGCCGTAGAATAAGTATTGTGCTGGAAATCCTAATTGAGGACTTAAGACTTCCTAGGTTAAGGATGTGGCCGTGTGTGTGTCTGTCTGCCTGTGGTTGTGTGTGTCCTCGTGATTATAAGATTAACCTGCTGTGTGTGTTAATTGCAGGCAAGGAATTATCACAAAAGGTTTAGGAAGGAATCTTTTAAAGACTTCCATCTACTGTGGTATTAAACCCAAGCCTAGTGTGTATTACAGCTTCAACACTCCCCTTTGGCTTATATTATCATGTGCATAGCTAAAGTCTTACATTTTTAGAACACCCTCTCTCTGTCCTTTCCCCATCAGCTCCTTCCTCATCCTTGTTGGTGTTCTGTCATTGGCAGTGGGCTTGCTATGACCAGCCTTACTGAGGCCAAGCAGCTTATGGGATGTTCTTTATTGTGTGTGATGGTATTGGTTTGTTTGGTAGATAGGTGGGAGGAAAAGTACTGTAGCTACACTATTATAGTCATGTTTGATACTAGCAGCTAACACTGGTCACTCCAAAACACTGTTTCTATAGGAACATTGAATTTATTAAGATGTTTTGATTATCCTAATTACATCATGACTGATTTGAGATAGAGGCCTTCAAATACATTCCATGCCCTCCCCAGAAAAGAGTCTGTGGGAGTCAGTTGCCTTGGTGCCAGGTATATGTTCTGATGTAGGTCATGAGTCTTTTTACTTAATGAAGAAGGGAAAAACATGTATTTCCAGGATGACTTTCTGGCCAGAATACCAGAAAGCTTTTAGAAAGCTTCGTTCACATGCTATTTAAATGCACAAAATAGAGAGTAAGGATTTATCCGTTCAGTTTTTTCTTCCCAGTGAACTAATTTCAGCATGGGTGTCTTCATTTGAACATAAGGAATACTAGTTAGATTTTCAGCAATGGTTTTCCTTTTCCCTTTAAGGAGTGGGGATAATACCCGTGGTATTATCCTCTTGCTGATAGCAACTTCCCTGCCTTGCTGCTTCCTGATGATGTGGTTTTTTCTTGTGCCTGTGGCTTTGGGAATGTAACGTCTCTTTCCTCCTTTCCTTCCCTTTTCCTCTTCACCTGAGGTCCTAAATACTCTCTGTAATTACTGTGTTCTTCACAGTATTAGACATCATTCGGTGAATAAATTACTGCAGTCAAAGACAATATATGCTGGCAGTTTGTGTAATTGCAAGTTCATAAAGAAGATTAAGGGTCCAGTTTGGAGAACCATTAGTCAGTTCCTTTATATTGCTGGTAAATGATCCCTCGAGTTCAGTTAGTGTACTGTCCAGAGTGTTTTGCTGACTTCCTTAAGCAGCGTATAACCTTTCTCCACGTCAGAAGCAAGCCTGCTCTTTAATAAATCTGTCTTCCTGAAAATCTAAATCATTGCTTTTGTCTTTAGATCTAGACAGAAATGACCCTCCTTGGATTAGTTTTCTTTTCAGTCTTATCATCTTTGGAACTAAAACTTGTTCTAACTCGTCTCTTGGCATTCGGCTACTTCTGGATCTTTTGATTTTATCCTCTGGCCTGAGAGCCATTTATGTTCTCAGAGTAGGCAGTACAGGACCTTGTGTTGATTTGCTGTAATTACCCGGTGTCTTCTCTACATGGCATAAAGCGGCATAGCCCACCATTAGGTGAGGTGGTCCCAAATTGGGGTGGAGTGGGCAGAGGAAAATGGCAGTGAATAGCAAACAGTAGACCCCCGGCAACTTCTAAACGCCAGTACACATACTGTTTCATTTGAGGTAACGTTCAGTTTTGCATTTTAAATATTGAAGGCCTAGACAAAGAACTAGAAAAAATGGCAGCAGTTTCCAGGCCTATCCATATTGTAACTTTTTTATCTGCAGATATTGCCCGTAGTCTAAAGATCTGTTCAGAAGACAACGCACTGGCTATGTATCTTTTGCCTTTTCCATGCATCTAAATCTTCCCTGGAAATTATTGGCCCTACTGCGTAAGCTAAGGGCAGTCTCAACTTTTCCTTTTTTGAGTCCTGTGTGGCTCTGAATCAGCCTGGAACTGAGGCCGCAGCTCCCTGTGTTGTACATGTGCCCCATGGATGGGCTTGGGTGTTAGTTTGTCACAGTTGTCTGCCAGCATTCAAGGTTTTGGATCATTTCATGAGGATTTTTCCTTTGACTGGGTGCTCTGAGAACATACCTGGCTCTGTGTCTGAGATTTCCAGGCAAGACTAAGGAAGGTTTTCATGTGGCTTTTGTTTTGAGGTTATTCTCAAAAGCTTAATTATTTATATTTTCTGTTGACTAAGGCACCAGTAACCCATTCTTCATCCTCCATTTGTATGGCAATTTAAAATTCTTTGGCTCTGCTCTGAATTTAATTGAAATTGCCATTGATGAACAGACTTCAGGTTTTGCCATTTTTGGCAAGCCCATCCCCTTGTCCCTTCCCTTTGTTCTCCTTTTTCTCATATTCATTGGGCTGTTGTATTCAGCCCAGTTTCGTGCTTTCCCTGTGTCTTCGTGGGTTGCTTTCCGAGCTGCCTTGTTGCTGCGTCGTTGCTCTGCAGCAACCACAACTGGACCTTTCCAGCTGCCCATGTTCCTTCCACTAAAATAGAGGGTTCTTACCTGTGGGCTCTTAATATACCTCCCTTTAGTTAAGTAATAGACCAGGCAGCTTCTCATCTCAGCGTGTATCTGTAATATTTTTGTGAACAGTGCTCTCTGCCTGTGGGTAGCTACTCTCTTCCACTCGCTCGTCTCCCCCCAGCCCCATGCTACATAATCTGCCATTCTTCCGGCCCCTTTTTCTCCTTACACAAACCCTCATTACCGGGGCCCACGATGTGGGATAGTACTCTTAGCATTATTTAGCTATTTTGTGGATTTAAAAGATTTTTTTTCTGGTTAAGGGAGGTGGGAGTCACTGTTGATCACTCTTAAAATATATGTTTTCTCTATAGGAAAGTAAAATGTATTTATGGTCCAAACAGTCACCTTACAAATTTTTATAACAAAACTTGCTTGTAAAAACTAGGGACCACCTGTATATTCCCTTTAAGATCTAGTTCTTTTTGTAGGTGTTCAACAATGGTGATAAAGCAGAATATTCTCCTACCTCACATCATGAAAGTCAGAAGATTAGACCTTCTCAAACTATAAGCCCCCCTTCTTGCCATTGGCCTTTCTGACTTTGGAATGACCACTGTTCATTGAAAAATAGTTTTCTGACTATTGACCTGGCTGTAACAGTTCGTTTGTTCATCCAGCAAATGTTTATGTGTGATGACCATGTGCCAGAACTGTCAGGTATGTGTCCTTCTCTTGCCACTGCATGATAGTTTACTGATGTTTAGGGGATTGTACTTGGTATCTCTTAGCCCCTGCATTTGACCTTAAAATAGCTCTTCCCAATAAGATTGTGCAGTTTTTATTCACAGCTCTTTCACGTAGACTGACCTTTCCTTGTAGAGCTATCCTGGTTAATAGCAGGCCAAGATTCTTCCATTATCCCCTGTTGTCTCCTATAGCTTTGATAATGCCTGGGAGATTCCTTGATGTAAGTCTCATGGATACCTACTGTTTTTATGTATTTCATTGGAATCTGTTTGGTGAGTTGAAGGGTAAGTTGGCTCAGAGTTGCATAGTAAGGCATTAAATGTTTAAACAAAGCATCTACCCACATCCCCCTTTCCAATCTAGTGCCTTCCTTGAACTTTTTCCTGAGCTGCTGTGTCCCTAATCTCCTTTGTTGGGAGGATTTTCCTATCACCCCTCTGCAGGCTGTCACCATGTCCTGTACTATTTGGAATTGGTTTTCCAGTCTTTCAACAACCTTTGCAGCTAACTCTGTGTTTTAGAAGGGCTGGAGCTGTGGGTCCTATCTTTGGGTCCTGATATTCAGTCAGTTGTTTGGTCTTCCAAGAGCCAGGCATTAATACAGATTGAACTTAATCAGTCCTCTAATTGTCAGCCTTTACCTCCCCATCAAGAGCAAGGAGTTTAGGGACCCTGAAGCTTAGTGTCCACACATTATTCTCCCAGACCTTAGAGCTTTAGAAGTTCAATCTAAAGTACTCTAACTTAGCTTAACTATTACTGTCACTCCTTTGAACTCAGTCTCCATGAGTGGTCTTTTGTTAGGAATATATAGAACTGCTTAATGCCTAGAGGGTGGTGGATAGTGGAAGGTAGTCGAGGTTATATTTTTGACTGTTCTGCTTAGGGATCCTTTGGATAACAAGAAACAGATGTTCAAGCGTATGAAAGGAGGGAGTCATTATAAGGATGCAGGGTGTTTCATAGGACCCAGGGTGGGACGTGCTGTTGGTTTTCTGGTGGAGCTGAACTGCAGAGCTTTGCACCTGTTTCTTCCTCCCACTTCACAGTCTGTTTATGGGATGTGTGGCCCCCAAATAGGCACTCCAGTCCTTAAATCCACACCACCTTCCAACTCTGGGGATCACTGTGAACAAATTCCCAATTTCCTAGACTTCATATTCTTAAGAAAAACTACATTCAGCCCAGTACATAGATCAAGTATCTATCCCTGAGCAGTTGGCCTTGCCAGGGAGAGCAGAGATGTGGCAGACTCCTTCAGCTGGAGATAGGGAGCTTCTAGAGAAGAGGGCAGAGACTCCACAGACATCCTCAAAAGGCTTCTACTTGGGGAGTAAAGCTGCTACTCCTGCCTTTTTGCTAGTGGAAAGGAAGGCACCGGAGTTTGTCCAGGACATCATAGAAATTCTTAGGTTTAACTTAATTCTGGTCATTGTCTTTATTTCCTATTTTTCTTCCCTTTGTCAGTCTTGGCATCCAAGATTTCTTACCTCCCTCTTGTGGGCCAGCCTGTCCTGTTCCAGAGCTAGCCTGTTTCTGGGTGGCCTTCCTTAGCCTCCATTCAGCCTCAGGTCTTTTGCCTTCTGAATCCATGTTATTTAGAAAGCAGAATCTCATAACAGGCTCCACTGTAGCCACTACCCATGGACTTCTGTTCAGGTTTGAGTGATTGAAAATATGTTCATTCTCTGGACTTGTGGCCTGTCTTCTCCACTCTCCTCCTTACTGTCTCATTCCCTCCTGTGTGAGGGCTGCTCTGCAGTAATGTTCTCAGGTAAGCCTTCCCAGGCACCTCAGAAACTACTTTGCCAGAGCCAGTAAGAATATATAATATTGGAGCAGTTGCCAGGATAGAAATCAAATACAGATTCCAGCTTAGGATAGAGTTTTTACTGAGAGCTCGCTGGACGGTATACCTGTGTCTTCTGGCAATTGCTTTCTTTTTAGCCCTGTATAAAAGCTTTCCTTTTCTGTTTTTTTAAAGCCGTACTTTTGCTTGCTTGAATCTTTTGATCTTATATTTATCTCATCTTAGACATTGTAAGGCATTTCATACTGCCTTACTTAAAAGTTTTTTAAACTACGAGAGTCATTTGATACACACAGATGTTACCTAATAATCCAAAGATGTCCATCAAGGGAGGAAGGGTGGGTCGTCAGACTTCACCTTTGATGTTGTAGTCTAGGCTCCTGAGTTAAGCAGCAGAGGGACAGCAGTGCCATGTGCCTTCACTGTGTTACAGAAAGTCTGGGTTGGTTTCATTGGGAAATACCAGTGTTTCTTGGTTCTGGAAAGTAGTAAAGAGTCAGAGATGGAAAAATAGGGATGGGGAGAGCAAGCTCCGAGTGACCATGGTGAGTCAGGTGGGAAGCACAGGTGGAAAGGCCGGCTATTGACGGAGAGACTAAGCTGGGTGGCTCTTTTGCCACCCCTTCCTGGGTACAGAGCTTCAGAAAAATGCAGCCGACCACTCTCTATGTTTGTACAGGGCAAAGCCCAAAAGCCAGCCTCAAATCTCCTGATTTGGTAGCTGAAGAAAGCAGCAGAGTCCTGATTGCCTGATTCAGTCCCAAAAAGGAATGTCAGCCCCCCCGGCCCCACACACCCTGCGCCGTTGCCTCTCCTACATTCTTCTTCTACCCCTAAATCAGACGGGAGGCCAGAGAGGAGTATTGCTCAATACATGCTGTGTGCAACTCCTCAGGCCTTGCGCCACCTCCATGCAAAGCCCTGAAGTGGGGTGTCATGGGTGCCTGGGCGTCAGCTCCCTCCTTCCTACCTACCTCTGACCTTGTTGTGGATGAGGGTAGCCATGCTTATGGCTGTCTTTAAAACTGGAGAGGCAGAGAACCACTTAGGAGTCTGTAGACCACGTGTTGTCTTCCATGGCCTCTTTCTCCTGCTGTCTGGGTGAGCAAGTGTACAATGCAATGCCCATGAGAGTAAATGCCTCCTGACCTACCCTGCTCAGCACTGTTCTAGTGTCTTGGCCTTGAAATAAAAGCCTGACTTCCTGCTGAAACGTGGTAGGGGCATGGCAGCTATGAGGTACCTCCTACATCTGCTTTCTGGCTGTGGTGACTTGGGATTTTTAACCTTATATATCTTTTTCCTTTATTCAAAACAAAACAATTTTTAGCACACTGAAAAAAAAAAAAAGCCAAATGTTTTGTGCCTTTCTAAGGCAGCACTGTATCCCAGGCTGCATTTTAGGACTTAATATGGAAATACCAGAGTCGGAGCTCCTCTACCTTGAGTATCATTAGTCCCTAGTGTCTAAAGGACAGGAAAGAATGCTCTCTGTGACTGAAGAGGTGGCATGCAGGTGCATTGTGTCCAGAGTCCCTTTCCCCTGCCATGAGGCTTCAGCGGAGAGAAGCATTGTACCCTGGGATCATTCGATTGGTTCCGATCCCAAGCTTAGTTATCAGGTTGAATGCCTTGTCTCCTGCAAGAGACAGAATGTTCCACAATTTCCAGGTGAACTCTGGACCATTTTAAGTGTCCTAGCCTCCTGATGACATTAATTACCTAACTGCGCGGAGGAGTGTAGAATGGACTCTCCTGAGAAGGGGAGCTTGGTTGTTTTGTCTTTTCTTTTTGCTGGATCCTGAACTGGTCTAAACCTCCTGCCCCCACCCCCAGCCCCCATCAGATGTGGCTGGCCTTTCCTTTGAAGACCTCAGACTTAAAGCATTAAGCAGCTAGTGCCCTCTGCAGGGCCTGGTTTCCCCAGGGAAGGGCAGCAAGGAACACGGACCAGAAGCCTGTCCTCAGTAATGTGACCATAGTGAGCTTTAGCAAAAGTTTTTCTATATAACATTTTACTTGTCTCTTACGCTTTCCTCAGTTTTCCCTTGCCTTTAATAAAGAATTGGAAGATAGGAATTTTAAAGTCCTTCTTATTCAAGATTTTGAAATTCTTAACCTGGGGGTGCTGGAGATAACTTGATGCTTTCTCCCGAATGTAGAGTCCCAATTTGTATATCAGTGTTAAGAAAACAAACACATAGATGAGATTTTCGTGGACTATTTTAAAAATGTGTCATTAATATAAAAAAATTTATATTAGCAGTATTTAATCTTTCTCACCTGTAAAGAATAAAACAGAAGGTAAATATTCTTACAGAGAATAGCAGAGCTTTAAGATTCATTTTCATTTTAAGTCCATTTTATTTTGCCAATGTATTAATGTTTAGAGGTCTGTTATACTAATGTTATTTATTAATTTTTTTCATTTCCATACACAGTTAACTAAAGAGCTTTTTCAAGCACCCATGTCTGTAAAAAAATATATTTTTAAATAAAGTTTCTTTTGTTGTAGCTGACTTGAGTTCTTGCTCATTCAGGGGGTTGGGAGGCAATACACAAGTTGCCGTAGGACCAAATGCCAAGGCCACTTTCTCATGGTGTGACCTGAACTGCTGTCTCAAGGGCAATTCTAAGTGGCAGGAAAGCATAGGAAGGGGCCACAGCTCCTGCCAGGCCCTGCGTGCTGCCTCCATCAGGGCCGTTTGGCTGCTGAAAAGTAGGGGGACTGTCCACTCTGTGGTAGAATTTGAGCCATTTGCTCAGAAGCAGAAGTAACCCCTGATCTCTGCTGCCAACTGGAAACAGTTTTGTGTGCCTTTGGTTGTAGTTTCAGAGGCCCCCAGGTTCCTGTGGTACCCATGATGAATAAAAAGCAATGTAAGGTGTCTGGGACAATTAAGCTTTATTTTTCTCATATATATATATATATAATATATATACACATAAGGAAACAATTTGCAAATTTACACACAACCTGACAAAACCATATATACACACATACGTGTGCACACACACAGACACACATGCACACCCCAAAGCTCTAGCCAGGCCCGTTTTTCATCCCTAAGTACCATTCTCTCATTTGGGCTCTTATCCGCGGGTTGGGGCCCATGAGCTTGGTTTGTAGAAATTTGGTGCTAATATAACCATAGCTTTAATCCCCATAAAGGACAGTGTAGGCCTCATCTTTGTCCACTCCCCCCCGCCTTTCAGTCTTACGTGATTCATCAAGAGGGCCATGGGAGCCAAGTGAACACGGCGGGGTTGAGGCTAATTCACTTGAACTCAAAAACAATGCCCAGCTTCCACACTGCAGGCACGTTATTTTTTAAGGAATGATACCAGTTCCTAGCTTCTGCCCAAAGAAAAAATGTCATAGGAGACTTTGAAGAGGCAGACAGGAGGGTGGCAGCAGTAACACTGCAGCTGCTTCTGGATGCTGCTGGGGTGCTCTCTGAAGCCTGTGTGAACGCCGCACTTCAACATGAGCAGGCGCCTGGCTCCGGTGCATCCTCACTTCAGTGGTGCACCTGGATGACGGAAGCCAGCCTTTGGGGCAGGAAACCAGCTCAGAGAGGCTACCCAGCTCAGCTGCTGGCAGGAGCCAGGTATTTAAGCCCATAATATGTAAAGAGAAAACACGTTCTGCAAGAAACTCTCCTACCCACTCGGGAGACAGGCCCCTCGCTTAGGATGAGCTTCACTCAACGTGGAGATGGTGGTGGACTGGTCCCTGAAAAGCAGGCCTTCCAGGGGCAGGTGAGGTCCTCAGGTCAGCTCTGGTCCTAACCCAGTGGCCCTCTGAAAGTGGGTGTGCTGGCGAGGGGAGCAGGAGGTTTCTGTCTAGTCCCTTTGAAGGCTTTGACTGCAAGGAGCGAGCAAGGAGCCGAGAAAGTTCCAGGCAGGGAAGGGAGCTGAAGTGATTCCGGGCTAATGCCTCAGATCGATGTATTTCTCTCCCTAAAAGTGGGTAGAGAAGAGGGGAACACGGAGATGGTGCTCAGAGTTGAAGGTGTGAGCACTGAGGAAGGAGAGATGGAAGCAGAAGCTGATGAACTCGGTGCGGCAGCCTTGGGGAGGAAGCGAGGATGGGCATGGCAGGCCAGCGAAGGAGGTGGCCCCCGTCTGACTGCACTGGTGAAATGGCCACACAGAGCCATGGGCATTAGTCAGGAAAAGGTGATGGTGATGGGACAGGTCTTTCTCAGTCTTCCTGCAGCTCCCTCGGCCACCTGCCTGGCCCTGCCATCTGTGAGTAGTGTTAAGAAGGCAAGAGGGGGCCTGCTCCCTATCTCCAACAAAGAGGGATGAAGGATAGAGTTAGAACTGTTAGCCCTGCTGCCCCCGGTCCCTGAGGATGTGGCAGGCTCTGGCCACAGGAACCGCCTCCTACCTGGTCTCCCGGAGCCCTCTTGTCACTGCTGCTGCCCTGCAGGAGGCCCATCTCTTCTGGGAGCTTATCTGACTTAACTTCAACTACAAGTTCACTCTTACGAGACGGGGGCAGCGTGCTGGGAGGAGGGAGGGAGGCGAGAGGTTGGCACCTTGGGGCCACAGGAAGGGAAGGGCCTGCTGTGAAGGATGTGGGATGGATGAGGGTTCCTTGCTCCAGGACAGGGAAGCAGGTCATGAGACCGTGTGGCTGATGGAAGCTGGGCAGTGGGCAGTGGAGCAGGGATACCCCAGCCCAGGGCCCCACTCCTGCTCTCAAGGGGCAGGCGGGTGCTGGACAGGCAGCAGGCTAGGTGGCAGGACGGGTGGGGGCGGAGGCCTGGTGCTGGGCTTACATCTCCTGCTTGCCTGAGCGCCCACACGGCAGCTTGCCCTTCTTGTAGAGGAAGTAGAGGACAGCACCCAGCACCGCCAGGACCAGGATGCACACAATCACAGCCACGATGACCACGCCCTGGCTCTCCGGTTCTGGCAGCTTTCTCTCTGCGCCACAAAGACACTCCTTGTCACTGCCTGCTCGAGGCCACCCTGTCACCATCGCTGCCCCAGCCAGTCCAGAGCCAACAGAAGATGGGGCTGCTACACACCTTTCTGGACAGGGTTCTCTGAGGAAGGACAGGGCAAAAAGGTTGCCCTGGCACGGCCCTGTTCTCTTGCCAGGCCTGGCTTACCTGTGGAGGTGCTGTTGGCTCTGGTATGAGGACTGGCAGTGGAAGTGCTGAGGCCAGTGGTTGTGTTGGAGTCTGGTGTGAGGGTGGTTAAATTGACTAGGAGGCAGAGGGAGGGGGGTTAGGAGAAGCGCAAGTTACTGCCCGTGCCTGGGCCTGCCCCTGCCATCCCCTGCAGGGATGTGGGCCTCACCCAGCTCCAGGAAGAGGACACTGGTGTTTTTGCCCAGGTCGTTGGAGGCCGTGCATTCAACACCTGTCTTCAACAGCTCTGCGGTCACGAGGACATTCAGGGTGCTGAGGACTCGCTGTGGATCTTGGTCTTGTTCACTTGCCTGCAAGGAAAGGAAGGGGGCAGCTCAGGGAATGGGGAGGATCTCTGGTCCTGGCCGCAAAGTCCAGGCAGGGATGAGGAGAGCATGGCAGAAACACCTGCTCACCGTGCTGTTGACGTTCCAGGAGATAGTGGGCCGGGGGTGCCCTGACGCTTCACAAGACAGGTTCAACACCGTGTTCTCTTTCACCCACACCTTCCTCTCCTTGAATGCCATCCAAGGGGGGCCTTGGGGAGGTAGGGAGGGGTGAGGTGGCAAGCCCGGCTAGCCTGCCTCCCCTTCCCCGCCAGAGTGCCCCAGGGAAGCAGGTGGCTTTTTGTCAAAGAGCTTAAAACAACCCCACTTGGAGTGACCTGGTCTCTGCCCAGAGCGAGGGTCTCACCAAAAATGGCCACGTTGACCAGCTGTGTGCGGTTGAGGCCGGGTATGCTGGGCACAGATGCCACACAGCGGTAGCCGCCCCCTGCCTCCCGTTTCAGGTTGTGCAACTGGAGCACAGACCCCCTTTCCAGCACCTGGCCTGTCTGGGGTGAGAGATGGGTCAGAAGATCTGGGAAAGAGCAAACCCGTCACCCCCGGCCCCACCCACCCATCAGCCCCTTGCCCCAGCCCCGCCTGGGTACCTCTTCTCTCAGCCACTGGAACTCGAGGGCCTGGCTACTCTCTGCCTCACAGGTCAGGGTGAGGCTGCTGCCTTCCTGTCTCTCAGGATCTGCGGGACTCACTCGGATGTCAGACACGTCTAGGGGTACAGCAATCATGTCACCTGGGAGGGCAGGGCCAGTTCCCTATGGCCCCAGCCTGGTCCCCCTGTCCTGGGTCCCCAGCCCCTCACAGTTCACCAGCAGTTCCTGTGCTTCACTCGGCAGCGATATCATGGTGTCCAAGTCCAGGCCCTGACATTCATAGAGCCCACTGTGTTCCTTCCGGGCCGGCTCCAGCACCAGGACCCCGTTGTCGACAGTTGTCTCTTCCTCTGCCTCCCTGGTGCTGGGGTTCTGGGAGAGGATTGGGGAGGTGAGCAGAGTGCACCTCCTGCCACTCCACCTGGGTCTCTGCTTGCACCCAGCACAAACCCCCGCACCTGCTTGCTGATGCTGAAGTGGGGTGGAGGGTTGCCATCAGCCAAACACCTGATTTCCACACGGTCCCCCTCCTTCAGCATTCCCACGGGCTCCACTTCCAACCACACTTTTTCTGTCGGGTCTGCAGAGGCAAAGGGGGTAGTAGCTCTTGGCCTATGAGTCAGCCCTGGGCTGGATAGGGAGGGGCCAGCGGGAGCTTCCAGCAGCCCCAGCCCAGTGAGCAGAGAGTCAGGTCAGTACTCACAGAAAACAGGGACAGTGACTTCCCTGGACTCCTTCATGTGGTTCCCACTGGGCAGCCGGTAGTTGAGCTCACAGTAGAACTGGGCATCTTTGTCCTCCTTAACCAGCTGTGCCTTCAGAATACTCTGCAAGGTGTACAAACCACTCGACTCCACGGTCTGGGAGGACTGAATGTGGACTCCTAGGCAGGGAGGAAGAGGAGGAAGACAGCCTCAGCCCCACCTCCAACCTCACCCTGGGGCTGTCTACCAGGGTTGGCAGGGGACCATCTAAAGAGTCCCCTGTCCCCTGTAGAGGACCAGGTACAAATGCAGGCTAGAAACCCTTCAACCCAGCACCTTCACTGCTCTGGGTCAACCCTAGAAAAACGTTTACATCTCGGCACATATCCAAGGAAGTGTGCAAAGAATGCTGCAGTGATAAAAATGTGCAGCCGTCTGGAGCCCACTAACTGGGGAATGGTGAACTCGACTGCACGCTACACATGTGGAAGCCTCGGCAGTAGCCAAAGTGATCAGTTGATCTAAATAGACAAACCCAGCAAGACTGTACAAAAGACACGGTCTAACAATGTATACCATACAGCACCACTTAGTCAGGGTTTCTCCGCACTACCGATGTCTCAGGCCACACTGACTCTTCGCTGCGGGGGCTGTCCTGTGAGCTCCAGGATGTAAGCAGCATCCTTGGCCTCTCCACCCACCAGATGCCAGTAGCACCCCCTCTGTGTGTGACAACCAAAACTAGCTCCAGACACTGCCAAGTTCTCCTAGGAGCAGGAGATACAAAATCACCCCTGGTTAAGAACAACTGATTTAGAAAATAAAAAACAAAAGCCTATATCGTTCTAGAGTTTTTTTTTTTTTTTTAGATGGAGTCTCACTCTGTTGCCCAGGCTGGAGTGCAGTGGTGTGATCTTGGCTCACTGCAACTTCTACCTCAGCCTCCCAAGTCGCTGGGATTACAGGAGCCCACCACCACACTGGGCTAATTTTTGTATTTTTAGTAGAGATGGGGTTTCACCATTTTGGCCAGGCTGGTCTTAAACTCCACCTGCCTCAGCCTCCCAAAGTGTTGGGATTACAGGCGTGAGCTCCTGGCCTAAAAATATTTATATGTATGAGCGAATATATAGAAATAGGCTTGAAAGGGCCGGGTGCCTTTTATTTATTTTTATTTTTTTAAGAGATGGGGTCTCACTCTGTCACCCATGCTGGAGTGCAGTAGCACAGTCCTGCTCACTGCAGCCTCCATTTCCTGGGCTCATATCATCCTCCTGCCTCAGCTTCCCAAGTAGCTGGGACCACAGGCACACACCACCATACCTAGCTAATATTTTTATTTTCGCTAGAGACAGAGTCTCTCTATGTTGTCCAAGCTGGTCTCAAACTCCTGGCCTCAAGAGATCCCCCTGCCTTGGCTTCCCAAAGCGCTGAGATTACAGATGTGAGCCACCACACCAGGCCCAAGTGTGGTTTTGGGGAGCAGAAAGGGATACTCACGGTTCTTCTCCTCCTTCAGAGGCCGACCATTCTTGTACCAAATGACTTGAGGAATGGGGTACCCATTTCTCCCCACACAGGTAGCGACCTAAGGAGGACAGGGTGTGAGTCTCCCTGCTTCCAAGACCCTGCCAGCCCCACCTCAGCTGCACATCCCACCCGCCGCACAGCTCACCTCCGAAGGCTCCTTACTGTTCACAGGGATGCCCAGGGCATTGGCCTGGATATTTGGCTCCTCTGGAGCTTCTACAAGAAAGGAGAAATGAGAGGGACATGGGACCGCGTCCCACCACCCTCACTACCCAGCAGGCAGACCGGGGGGCACGCACTGTAGACGCGGAGCTGGATGCGGTGCTCCTGGGACCGAGGGCGCTTGCCCTGGCACAAGAAGATGCGCTCGTCGTGGGGGGTGACTTGAGTCAGGGCCAGAGTAGCCCCTCTGTCCTGGAGGCTGAGCCGGTGCTGGTACTCCCCAGGTTCGCTCTGGCCCTGGCCCTGGCGCACGCGGAAGATGAGTACCCGCTTCTCCTTGTGGACCTACGGGGAAGGGATACAGAGGAGGAGAGGGTCCTGGGCTACAGCAGGGGCAGAGCCTCTCCCCCACCACCCCCCACCCGCCGGACTGCTCTCACGGGAGCCCAACACTCACAGAAAACCAGTCGACATGGCTGAGGTTGCCTTGGGACTGGAAGAGGCTGCACTTCAGAAGAGCTGTGCTGCCCACTTCCACCTCCACCAGCTCCGGTGCAGGCTGCTCAGCCTCTCCGGGCACACCTGGGGAAGGGAGGCGGGGCCCCACAGCTGTGTCAGCTCTGGCTGCTGTCCATCCTTCTCTCCAGCGCTGCTGCAGCTGTTCTTCCTGCCACTCAGAGGGTCTGCAGAGGGCCCTGTCCTCTGAACGCTCGACTCCCCCACCCGCGCCCCACCCAGGCCAGCCTCTCCCCATCCAGGAGACCCCAGGTCCTTGAAGCCCAGCAGAGACTGAGCACTGAGCAGTTCCAGCTGAGGCTGGTAGAGGGGCAGAGAGGGGCGACCTAGGCTCTGGGCCAAGAGGAAGGCCCCTTTCCTTCCAGGCCCCATCCTCTCCGGGTGAGCTCAGAGTGTGGGAATGCAAGGCGTGTGCCAGGCTGGGGCACACAAGCCCCTTTGTGTCACCACCCTCAGGGAAAGACACCACTACTCTACCCTCTGCCCTCCAAAATCTCTGCCCTATCCCACAAGACCCAGCAAGCTAACTCTGGCGGAAGTTCCTGTCTCATGCTCCCTCAGCAGCACCTCCATGAACACTCCACACACACCTGGTGACCCCACCTGGGGAAGCTGGTAAGGATGGAGAGGTCAGAGTCTACCCCAGGGGTCAGGGCAAGGGCCAGGCAGTGGGCAGGAGTGACGTCAGTGGTGCCAGCGTGCTGCTAGCCCTGTGAGGAGGTGATGTCACTCGACACCATCTGCCTGGACTCTGGGATGCCTGGGTTGTTGCTCTGGCTCCCGGACGAGAACGGTAGGTGGAGGGTTCTCCAACTCCGAGTCTCAGACCCCTGACTCCTTCTCCCAGAGCTAGAAGAGCAGGGCAGGGTGGGGCTGGACCAGCTGTAACTATGGTGCCCGATTTAGCCCTTTCCCCAGAAATAAAGTCAGCCAGGGAGGCAGTAGCCTGGAATACCCCAGGGACGTGGTTGGCACTGGGCACGAGGCCAGCGAGCTGGGTATTGCCTAGCCCTCCCCTTCCCTAGCCGGACAGCGGCTGGGACGGCGGAATGGGAGCCAAAAGAAAACACGCGACACCGCTGCGGGCCATACAAGGGCAGCGTGGACCCGAGTGCGCCCAGCTACCAGGCGTATCCAGAGAAACGCTCCGAGGTGCCCAGGCGCTCTTCCCACCTGAATGCAGTCCCCCAAATAGGCCAGCGGGCGCTTCCAGTCTGGGAATCCTCCAACCCTCATCTCTGTCCCCTATGATCCCGTCACTCGGGGAGGCGCGAGGCGACCCACACCGCCCCGCAACCCCTGCCAACGCCCAGCTCGGGCGGGAGCCGCCGAACCTCCCGCTCTCGCTCACCTCCAGCCTGGCGTGATGCCCAGGCGGGAGGGGGAAGGGGTGGGACGACGCGCCCCCTCCAGCGAAGGAAACTGCGTTTTCCAGCAACAGGCGAGCGCAGAATTCAGCCTTTGGGGATGCGCCCCAGCTGCGCCTCCTGCCCCGCTCCAATTCCGGGACCCCAGAGTGAGCACCTGAGGGACGACTCCCCCCAGCGCCCTGAGAGGCTGGGCTCCACCCCTTCCCGCTCCCAGCTGCAGCCTCCTCCCCGCCTTCCCAGTGCTGCTCCCGGGATACTCTAGGATCGAGGCTGCAAACTGGCTGCAAAGAAGAGTTGCATGCGCAAAAGGCGCCGGGGGCTCGGGGACCCGGGAAGGAGGCGCATCCTCCCGGGCACGATGCCCCGACCTCGCCGCGCCGCTGGCTCTGCTCCCTGGCACGTTCCTGGCCCCCCTGCAAACTCACTCACCCGCGGCGCGGCGACAGCAGCAGCAGGCGTAGAGCAAGAAGGCGCAGATCAGCCTGGGCAGGCCCATGCTTCCCGGCCGGAGGGCGAGAGCCAAGTGAGCAGCTCGCGGCTGCCGGGGGCTGACGTCAGGGGGGCGGGGGAGGGGGCCCGGAGCGCCCGTGCCGCCCCGCCCCGCGCAGCCCCCCGCCCCCGCCCCGCGCGCCGCAGCCCTAGGGGGCGGGCCCCGGCGCCGCCAGCCCGGGAGCTGTGCCCAGGAGCGCTGCCGGAGGTAGGCCGGAGACGGACTCCCAGGCCCCCGGCTTGGGAAGGCTGAGGGGGCAGTGACAGGTGTCTCGGGGTCTGACTGGCGGAGTGGTGGCGGGGAGAAGCTGGCCCGGATGCCTGGAGTCGCCCGGGATCGAAACCAGCCCGGCTTATCTCTGCTCAGCCCCTGCCAATCAATGTAGCGCCTGGGGGACCTCCTGGGGGAGGAGCAGGAGCGGACCTGGTCCTCAGTGTCCCCAAGGGCCCTCCCACTCCGGCTCCCCTCCCCTGCCACAGAGAATTCGGGCCGGCCTCGATCGCTTCCCAGAATGATTGCACCACTGCTGCTGCCACCGGTCTGGCATTGCCCCTGAGGCTCACAGTACTGGCAGCTTTGGGGGAAGAACGCTGCGCCAGTCCCACAGACCCAGAGGTACCTGTATGGGGAGTGGAGACGGTGCCCTCTGGGCCGTCCCTTCACACCCAAGCTCCTGCAAGTCCAGCTTTTGACCAGAGAAAGGAAGGAGGGGGCTGAATTCACAGGCCCAAGGTGTTCACACTTGTCCAGGCCTGGGCCTTGAGAATCATGTTTCTTCCCTCTTCACTCTGGAGCCTACCCTGGGACTCAGATTCCCTTCAGCTACCAGAAAGAAACAGGGAGAAGAAAGAGCTCATGGGTGAGGGTCCCCAGCCTGACCCTGCAAACATGTTGCTGCTCCTGATGATTGAAAGGGTCCCAGCAGCACCGATTTCCCCCCACCCCATGTCTTCCCCAGCCCTATTGACTGAGAGTCCATAGCTGGGGGAGGAATCAAATCAGCTCTGCTTGGGTGGGCAGCCCTACCCTTCTCCCCAAACCCCGACTTCTCTCTGGGTCTTCTGGCCTCTGCTTTGGTGGGGAGGGACTCTTGCCTCACAGAGACCCGGGCAGCTTGGCCTCAGAAAAAGGGTCCACATCTGCTGGGGCGCCTTCAACAGGGGCCAAATAGGGGCCTGGATTTGGGCGGAGGTCTGTTGCCCAGGGCCACCCCTCTGCTGGTTGGGGGATGTGGAGGGTGAGGCAGCAAACCCTGGAGATGGCCAGGTGACTTGAGAGCATGCTCCGGGGTGGCGTTTGGATGACGCAGAGATGACTGGCAAACCACACCAGCTTTGTCTTTCAGAGCTTTGCCGACCCCTCCTCCATGGCCATTGGTCTCCAGCCAGAGGCCATGCAAAGCCAGGCCCACCAGGGCTGCAGCCTGGAGCCTTCAGGGAAAACAAGAGGAGGACCCTGGCTCCCCCTCCAGAGTGAATGTATGGACTGGCCATGGGCCCAGAGCTGAATGGATGAGAATGTTTTGTCTGCTGGGCTGGAGTGGGAATGGCTGAAGGATGCTGTGTGCCCTGGCAGGCCAGGGCTGGGCATGGAGCTGGCTTCCCTGCCCAACCCCCCTTCCTTCACTTAACACCATTAACTAATCATTCGCCTCTCTGGCCTGAAAACAAAGCCAGCTAACCACCAAGGACAGTCAGTTCTGAATTCTTCTTCCGCTGGAGACTGAAGCCAGGTGGGGGTGGAGGATTTGTCTCTGCAGTGAAAGGGAAATGAGGTTAGAACCCAGGCTGACGTCCCCTCCCCTGCATGGCCCACCAAACAAGCACAGAAGACTGTCCTTTAAGGAAGCCAGTAGTCTGGAGCTGTCTAGGCTGCTCGGGAGGGGATTGTAGCCTTAGGGGACAGATAGCTTTGGGATGGTGTCTTGAGGGGAGCACTTTGGGATTCCCTGAGCTCCAAGATCAGGACCTAGGAGAGGACTCAAGAGGGGAAGGGAGACAGAAAGGACCAGGAGTGGAGGCAGGGAGCAGAGTGGAGGGAGCGGAAGGCAAAGGGGATCAGCCCTCAGCTCCTCTTAGAGCCCGGAGGCTAGCACTCCAGCAGCAGCAGGAGAGAAAAGGGGCTGACGACAGGACAGGACTGACACCCAGCAGAAGGGAGCTGGAGGAGGTGGTCATGCCTTCCACCCAGCAGAGACCCAGCACTGTGACTGGGTTGGAAGAGCCTGGCTCAGATGTAGGCCAGGGCTAGAAGAGGCCCTGGGGGCGAGTTTCTAATTCTTTTTTCCCTGTAGGGAGCAGGCAAAAAGGCTGCTTTCCTCCAGCCCCACGGTAGACCCAGGCCCCTCAGACATGAGGCGACTCTCCTACGAGTACTGGCCTCTGCATGTCTCTGGTATAGGTCTGACCACAGGTGGAGAAACTGAGGCCAGGTGGGGTGGGGTCCTAGTTGGGCTCCTCGGCCACAGTCTTCTGGGTGGGTGGAGCTTTTCAGCTCACAGTAAGGAGAAGTGGCACCCTGGGAAGTTGGAGGCAAAAAGACAAGGATGGACCTGTTCCCAGAGGTCACGAAGGGGGAAGACTGGAACCCAAGTGTCCTCTCTCGGCTCCTGCATAGGGAACTTAGTGACTTCCGACCCACCCTTCTGAATCCAGGGGCCTTGACCAGAAGGATATGAGAAGGGTGGGCTGGGTCGAGGAAGGAAGCTGATAAAGACGTGTTTGCCGCTGCATTGAGGACATGGGGGTGGGGGCGTCCCAACAATCTTGGCAGTTATCAAGGCTGGGGAACCCCCTGGCCAGGCCAGAGAATAGGATCTGGCCTGGGTCTTCCCGGGGGAAGTTGGAGAATTTTTCCAGAATGGGGGTGTGAGTAGGAGAAGATTGTAATGAAGGAGTGAAAACAGGGTGGAGGAGGGTAGGGGGCAGGAAACCGGATACTGTACTGCGGGGGTGGAAGAGGAGGGGGAAGAGATTGAAAGGGGGGAAGCAGCCCCACTCCCGCCGGACGCTGTCTCGCCCATGTCCTTCGCACCTGACCCAGGGCAGGAGGAAGGAGGCACAGCCGGGATGGAGGTGCACCCACCACACCATGGGAGAGAGGGAGGGTGGCCTTCTGGGGGATGGGAGGGGCTATTTTTAAACTTGGAAAAACCGTGAGTTCATCTCCATTCTAGGGCTGCAAAGGCCCCATTGTACAGGGGTCTAGAGAGGGGGAGCAGGGGGAGGGGGCAATGGGCACAATGGTGTGGATTATGTTGGAACAAGCAGGGGGTGGAGGGCGGAGAGCGGGGGAGGGCTGACTTCGTCACAGCTGGCCTACTGAACTCTGGGGTCGAGCCGGCTGGGGCTTTGACTGGGGGCGGGGCCCACCCTCACAAAGCCCCCTGTTGGGGAACTAGGGTCTCTGACATCCGGTGGCCCATCATGGGGAGGGGGCAGACGGTGGGATTCCCACAGCCTGCCTTTCCCAGGGACCGCAGGGTCTGTTCCCAGGCTCCCAGCATTCCGACGACTCCCCTGGGAGCTGCTGGCCTCTTCCCTCGGCCCCTTCCCTGCCAGGGAGTGGGGGGAGAGCAGGAGAAAGGATGTGGAGGCATTGGGACTCTTCCTGGGGATGATGGACTCTTAAGCCAGAGGCGGAGGTTGGGTGGGCAGCAGTGGGTGGGTGGGGTTGGTTGAGGGGGATCATAGCCCTCCCATCGGAGCCCCCAACCCCGCGGACCCCTCCTCCGACCGACTGGGGACTGTCCTTCTGGTACCCCCTGGCCCTAGGAGCCTCCGCACGGGGCCAGCCCACCTGCCGGACCTCAGCCCTCCGGCACCCAGGGCCTCCGCCGGCGGGACCTGGCCGCGGCGGGAAGGCGCCGGCGCTAAGCTCCCCAGGAGCCGGCTCCGAGGTCCCGCCCGGCGGAGGCAGGGGGTGGGGATCCGGCCTCTCGCTCCAACCCAAACATTACCATAAATGCTCAAGTGGCCGCGGGCCGGTGGGTGCGCGGGGACCCTGGGGCTTTCCGGAAGCCCCGGATCCGGTCTCCAGGCCGGACCCAGCGCAGGCCCGCGCAGTGCTTCCGTCGGCCCAGCCGTCCTTTGTACAACGCGGTGCAGCCGCTGGGGTGGGCGCGGGGACAGGGTGGAGAAAACCCAGGCCGCAGGGGGCGTCCCGGGGCTGCCTTCTGGGTGGGCAGTGAGGCTGTGACCTCTGGTCAGGGAAAGCGTGGGGCCCTCCAGCCAGATGGCAGCGTCAGCGCCGCGGCCGCGCGGCTCGGGCTCCCTCCAGCGATGCGGGTCCCGCTGCTGTCAGCTGCGACACCCTGGGTCTCTGGGTTCCCCGGTCCCAGCACCTAATCCCCTTCCCACTCCTCTGCCCCCAGCCTGCACTTGGGGAATGAAGGGTGATGGGGGCTGGGGGTGGCAGCAGGATGCTGGGGGTTTACACCTCTCCCCTTCGAGAAAGTTCACATCCGCTCCCCAGAATACCACCACCCAGGGAGAGGAATGTCCCCAGAGAGCTCTTCAAATTGGACTTTGAGTCGTCCCTGAGGAAAGGCCAGCTGGTCTACAGGAGGGGGCCTGTGGGAAACCTGGGGGCGCCATGTTGCGGTCTCCTGGCCCCTCTCCTCCCAGGAATTCCTCTGGGAAGGGGAAGCTCCTGCGGTTCCTCTTCCCTGCCACCCGGCGCTGTGAGCAACCCTGGGAGAGCCCGGGAGAAGGGGAGCCTTGTTCCATCCCACCCAGGCGAGGCCTGGGACCCTTACTGCTGCTGCCAGGGCTGATCTTGGAGCCTGGAGTAGAGAGGGGAGGAAAGAGGCCCGGCGCGGTGGCTCACGCCTGTAATCCCAGCACTTCGGGAGGCCGAGGCAGGCGGATCACGAGGTAGGCAAGAGATTGCGACCATCCTGGCCAACATAGTGAAATCCCGTCGCTACTAAAAATACAAAAATTAGCTGGGCGTGGTGGCGCGCCCCTGTAATCCCAGCTACTCGGGAGGCTGAGGCAGGAGAATTACTTGAACCCGGGAGGCGGGGGTTGCTGTGAGCGAGGTGGCGCCATTGCACTC